TGAGACAAGGGCACAGATCTGAACTCAAAGGCAGCTGTCTAGCAGGCTTTTGCAGTAGTCAGCGCTCTGTGTTAGCTCCAGGATACATGTTGATGGTGACCTCCAGTGGCACTGACTGGAAACTCCTTTTCTTTTTTTTTCTTGTCTTGCAGAGCCAGAATACTTACAACTTCATCTGGATCACTGCAGATCTAGTATCCCTTGCCATAGTCACGGGGATTTTCTATTTTAAGAAGTAAGTATAGTACAATTTGGACTGTGATCATGCTGAAAGTTACATGCATGCACTGACTTGGAAGATGTTTTCATCTGCCACTCACCATATTTATTCTCTCAGTGTGCTTATTCTAAATGAGCATCATTACATTAAGTTTAAAGCATTAACTTAAAGCTTGAGTTACTTTTTGATACATCATTTGTGATAAATAGTGGTTCTGGAGGTTGGAGTGCATGGGGTTGCAAGTGAAATCTGAGGGGTCAAAGGTGGTGAACAGAATAGGCAGCTGCACAACATTGTTTTAATTTTGTCAGCCTTTCCTCTAATCTTTGCAGTTTTTGTGTGTGTAAATTACAGGGTCATGTGACCTCTTCTGGTCTGTAAAAATGACCAACTGATTCTTCATTTGAATTATTCACAACCAGTAAATATATGCAACCTGTCGCAAGGGCTCTCAGGGTCTTTACAGGGTCAGTTCAACCAAAAACAAAAAAAGTAAAATAAATAAAATTAAAAACAAAGCTTTTTCACTTACTTCTGACCATGCAGATAGGTTTGGTTTTATTGTTCATTTTTTCAGAATTCCTCTGCCTCAAGCCTGGTGCAGTGAAGGTGACTGCAAATTCATTCATGGTGCACACTTATTTCAGACTTTTACAATTTTAAATGAAAATTGTTCACAGCATAGCAAATTCCAGAGCCAGGTATCTCAAGCCCTGGACAAATAAAACCCAAAGGTATCTGTATGGCTAGATGGTGCTTTGTTTTTAATTTAGGTGAATTGTTTTTTCCACCATGCAGTGAGAGGTTTTTTTGTTATGGCTGAACATTGTTATTAATATAACATCCTTTTTTTCTGTGAACACAGTTTGGTTTATTATCACAGAGAAATGCAGTAAAAAAAATCAAAACTTTCGATATGTGATCAGTCAATTTCCCGATACTGGTCTTAGACAGGTTTACATGAATATATCATATAAACACAGTCTCTAACGTAAAAAGAGCTGAATGTGTTGGCGATTTTCATCGAGTGTCTGTTGTGTTAACACCAGCCTCTGAGTGTGATTTTGGCCTTGTCCAGTCTGCTGCTTCTGACTTCGCTGACTGTTTATTCTGCTCTTCTCTTTCTTTTCTTTTTTTCCTGCTGTCTTCTGAATGTTTCCATGTTTTCCTCCAATGCCATAACCCCTCACTGTCTTCCTGTCCCCCCCTCTCTCCTCTGACATTCTTACTTTGCCCTGTGCTCCTCCTGATCTGCATGCAACCTCCCTCCTCTGCCCCCTGGCATCTGTCAGCTATCATATGATCAGGTAACCGCTGCACCTTGGCCTTTGTTTCTGCCTCCTTCTCTGTCCTCCATGTGCTGTTTTGCCTGACACCCCAAGGCTGATTCCCTCCTTTATTCTACTACACTGGATCACCTCTTGTTTATTTTATATTTCTAAATATTTTATTCTTTTTTCCTAATGCACATTCCCTTTTCTTGTTTGCACATTCTTTTTCTTTCCTTGTTCTCTTAGTCTTATCTTGTTTACTCACTGCCTTACAGAAGAACATTGTACATGCACATTGAGAGCCACTGTACCAGAGTCAAATTCCTCATGCGTTCAACACACCTGACCAATACAGCATTCTTAAAGTGTTAGGATACAGCTGGAATGACAGCCTCCATGTGCTTGTAATGGTTTGTATTTGTGCATGAAGTAACAGGTGGAGGATGCAACACATCGGGAAGCCAAGCTATAACCCAGAGCAGATTATGCTGAGCGCTGTTGCACGACAGTCCAGTCGGGATGTCAACATCATGAAGGAGAAGCTCATATTCTCAGGTGCTGCTCTGACTAGATTCACACTGGGAACTACTGTACTTTATATACCTGTAGTTGGGACTGAAAAGAACAAATGAGCATGACACCTATGTGTAAATACAGCCATGGTGCAGCACCCAAATCAGGTGGGCACTGACTTGCCTTACTAAGGATACGCACCATGAGTCTGCCACCCATCTTTAGGTGCTAGCCAGTGAAACCCTGTCACCTTTATCTACTGAAGCACTACTCAGATTGAAGAGAAGTGGCACTGCCAAATGTTGCATGTTTGCTCAGTGCAGTATTTGCTTAAAGGCTGGCATGTCTCTTGTTAGAGGTGCTCAAATTAGAAAGAGAATAAAAGCACTAAGGTACAGCAGCAAATCGCTTTGTAAAGTTCATAAAAAAAATGTCATAACTCATTCAGTCACACTGGCACATACAGACTTCCTCTCGGTGGAGCACATGCTTGCACTGCTTTGACAATATTTCATGCTCAGTTGCAGAAAACACTGTTTTGCCATCTACACATACTTGCAGCACATGTAAAATCAGGTCAGTGTGTGATCTTATTAACTCAGACTGAGCTTATTTACATCTGTTGCCTTTGTACATGCAAATTAAAAAGAGGCAGTGAAGCAAATGTTGTGCACCTGATGGTAATTTGCTGTAGGTCTTGTATTGTATGTGTTCTTCTATTTGTCATGAATACCGGTAGTTAAAGTTAAAGAAATGTGCTTTGTCCTGTGATCTGTGAATGTTAGATGTAATGATATAGTACTGTATCTAAATGCCAGCTGTTAGTGTAATCCAGCTAAATCCAGTATATCATAATATGCGAGTTCTGTTTAGTAAAGAGAGTTTTAACATCATCAGTACTTTTCCTGTCATCTTTTTCAGAACTAGACAATGGGCTCAGCAGTTCGGAGGAGCTTTCTCTGTAACCTGAGAACAGTTAAGCAAGATGCTCTCATAAAAGCCTCAGCCACTGAACAAAATGCACTGGGAGCCAGTGGTTGGTGTCTATGATGTCACAATTTAGGGGGATGGCTGGTGACTGGACAAATGTCCCAGAAACTCCTTGAATCACGTGGAGCTAGAGTCACTGACCTGGTGAAACTAGAATTAGTGTTTCTTTGTCATGAATACATCTGTTTGAATCATTATAGATTTTCATGTAGAAACATTGTTTGCTTGAAGCAAAAAATGAAACCTTATACTAGGTTAATGGAGCAGAAATCCATCTGACCAAAAAGACAATAAGAGAAGAAGAATTTCTCTTTGCTTGAGTTAATGAAGCTCTATGTTGTATTTTTTCATGTCATTTACTGCACTGTTAGTTTTATATGGAGCTGTTTAGTGGTCTTTATTATACAGTGATGTGAATATGAGTTGTATTACATGTTTTTATTTTTTTCCCTCAGAGGATTTTCAATGATTTGGACATAGGAGCACTATATTTTTTATTTGCATTCACTATAGTTATAATTGATGTCCTCTTTTAAATGTGGCGAACAGCGCATACGCTTTCTTGCAGTTTCTTTAGATAAGGATGTTTTTTTTGGTATTGTGGTCACTGTTCTCTAATCTGCCACAATTGATTTACTTTCTAGTCATATTACTGTATCTACTACAACTCTCACATGGCTGCCTTTTTGTTAAGTGAATGGACTAGTAAATATTGTAGAATAGATTGTGGTCTACACATTTCAGGCTACAACTACACTCTTAACTGCAGACATGTCAACTGTTCAATAAAAGTGATCTTTCCTTTTTGAAAATTGTGCAGGTTGTTTTTTGTTGATGATCAATGCTTATGTAACTACTCAAAATGAAAGTTAGAATTGAAACCAAATTTTAGATTCACTTTTAATAGATCATAAAACTTATTTTAACTGTTGCATTTTCATGCAAACTACTAGTCAACACTCTGAAATGAATGAATTTCTAGCCATGCTAGTATCTTGGCTCCACAGTCAGTCAGTCAGTCATCCTCCATTTTGACACAGACTGAAATATCTTAAGAGCTGTTGGATGCATTTGACACAGACATTCATGGTCTCCAGAGGATGAATGATACCGACTATGATGAATGACTTTTTCCTGTAGTGCCATCATCAGGTCAAATTGTTTAGAAGTTCAGTATATTGAAATTTTCATGTAACTATCAACTATACTGTGTTGGTACAGGAAGTTACTCCAGGATGATTACAGTACATAGCACAAAAAATTTAAAACCATATAAAATCAGCAGTATCAGAGCCATCCATTTTCCAAACCGCTTAGTCCCAAACGGGGTCACGGAGCCAATCCCAGCCGGCTGCAGGCAAGAGGCGGGGTACACCCTGGACAGGTCGCCAGCCCATCGCAGGGCTAAGCAAGCACGAGGAGAACATGCAAACTCTGCACAGAAAGGCCTCAGGTCGGCCGGGCCTTGAAACCAGGACCGTCTCACTGTGAGACAACAGCGCTAACCACCTGCGTCACCGTGCTGCCCATCAAATACAGATTATATTTAAAATTATTACGACCAATAAAAAGATTCACAATCATTACACTGAGTAGTATAAATATTATGACATTTGTGGAGCTACTTTACTTCTGTTCTCAGCCTTATATTGGTTACTTGCCCACTGCTGCCTTACATAAGGCCATGTGCATACGCATTGAGAGCTGCTGTATCAGAATCAAATTCCTTGTGTGTCCAACACCTGGCCAATAAAGCAGATTCTTTCTGCACTGTAACAGTTTATTAATCAATTAGTTGATCAACTGAAACAAAACAAAACATTGAACAAGCAGGGTGTCTATGGCAGGACACCACGAAGGAAGCCGCTGCCTACTAAAAAACATTGCTGCACCCCTGAAGTTTGCGAAAGAAAACACTGAAACACCACAGTGGTATTGGCAAAATGTTTTGTTGACTGATGAAACTAAGATTGAACTATTTGGAAAGAACATGCAGCACTACATCGGGTGTAAAAAGGGTTTTCATCATGAAAACATCATCCCAACCGTAAAGTATGGTGGAGGAAACATGATTTGGGCCTGCTTTGCTGCATCAGGGCCTGACCAGCTTGCAATCATTGAGGGGAAGATGAATTCCCAAGTGTAACAAAAAAATTTTCAGGATAATGTGAGAATGTCTGTACATCAGCAGAAATTCTGTAGAAGTTGGGTGATGCAACAGGACAATGACCCAAAACACCGGAGCAAGTCCACAACAGAATGGCTTCAGAAAAACAAAATACACCTTTTGGAGTGGCCAAGTCAGAGCCCAGACCTCAACCCAATAAAGATGCTATGGAATGACTTGAAGAGATCCATACACTGAAGAAAACCAAAGAATATGATGGAGCTAAAGCAGTTCTGCGTCTCCTTCCTGAGTAGTATGATGGCTGCGTTGTCCCATGGTGTTTACACATGTGTAATATTGTTTGTACAGATGAATGTGGTACTTTCAGGTATTTGGAAAGGATGAACCAAACTTGTGGAGGTCCACAAATTATTTTTTCTGAGGTTTTGGCTGATTTGACCATGATGTCAAACAAAGAAGTACTGTAATAAGTTTGAAGATAGGTCTTAAATAATATCCACAGCTGCCCCTCCTATAGACTCAAATAATGTCAATTTTTTATGTATATTTTTTATTTAATTTATTTATTTTACTTTATATGTAAACTTTTGACCCACTGGTCACCCACCCAAAGAGAGTTTGTTAACATGACATCTGTGGAGTGGTTAAGAAATCTGTTTTAATGACTTCAGCCTCAGTGTATGTAAACCTCTGACAGGTGTATGTGCCTAATCATACCAGACAACTCTTTTTAGGCTGTTTTTAGAAAAATGCAGGTGACATGATGCATTTCAGTGCATACATGGTTTTCTTAATAGTGAGCAATAGGAATTCATAATACATCCTGCATTAATTAACCATGAGTCAAAAATCCTGATGTTTTCTATCATTACTGTAAAATTCATAAAACTGTAAAAGTAATACAAAGTCATCAGTAAAGCCTCTTCTGTAATTGATAGTTTACAGTCTGGCACTGCATGTGGAGTTGCCAGTTGTGTCTGGCTGGTAACAGATGTTATATCATTACCTACATCAAATTGATGGAACCGTGAACTTAAAACTGGTTGTAAGCTTCATAGGATGTATGACATACGATGATAGAAGTCTTGACGTGCTTCCTGTCAGCCTGTGATGCAGCCTCTGTTTGCTTTCCCTGCAGCCTCAAATTAGTTGGAGAACCCTTCTGCTCCTGCTTTTGCTTTAGAAACAAGGCATAGTGTAAATAGAGGGCTCTTTCACAGCTGCTGTGCTGAATAATTTGGTGTGCTATAGAGAATGTTTGCGAAAGCTAAATTCTTAAGTGGACAATCTGGCAGATTGAGGAGGTTGGTTCTCTTACCAGACAGCCTGCATTATCCTGTGGTTTCATCAAAGATGAGTGCTGAAGGCATCCGATCTCCTAAATCTGGTCAACTATTTGAATAACAGAGAGATTAAAATGTGGGCTTTCTGGTAACAGATGGGTATATTAGCCAGCTACTGTTTTGTGTTCCCCTGCTTGCTTGTGTTCTTTCTGCAATCCCACAGTATAAACAGATTGTGTTTATTACCCGTTTCTGATGTACTGTATATTCTGAAATTAGGTTAAGCCCTGGCAGCAATACAGCTTGTTGGTATGGTGCATTTTATATCCATCCATCCATCTTCCAAACCGCTTAGTCCCAAACGGGGTCACAGGGGGCTGGAGCCAATCCCAGCCAGCTGCGGGCGAAAGGCGGGGTACACCCTGGACAGGTCGCCAGCCCATCGCAGGGCCAACACACAGACGAACAACCACTCACACACACACAAGCACTCCTACGGGCAAGTTAGAGACACCAATCAACCTATGCTAAAGGGTCTTTGGACTGTGGGAGGAAGCCGGAGCACCTGGAGAGAACCCACACAAGCACGAGGAGAACATGCAAACTCTGCACAGATAGGCCCCAGGTTGGCCAGGGCTCGAACCCAGAACCTGCTTGCTGTGAGGCAACAGTGCTAACCACCGTGCAAACCTGACAGTATTGGCCTTTTTGTAGCTATTTTTTTTCTAGTGATAGGAAAAATGCTTTTGGGGACAGTGTTCATCATGTGATGAAGTTGTAGTAACATGGTTTGGCCAGTACACAAAATTGCTTCACAGCCTGACACTATTCCTGGTGGCTTGGTCTCTAAGCCCAAACTGCAACCCAAGTAATATCACTTCAATTTTTCCACTGATTGACAATGCTCCTCTGGAGCCACAGAAGACAGTGTTGAGCTCTAAATAACCAGTGAATATTTTTTTTGAAATGTAAAATAACTGCATCACTACTTAGTTCATGCAGAGTGCCTTGATTTATAACTCTAAACCTGCTGCTTGCTGTTCAGTTATAAACATGTTATAAACCAAGTTCACGACTAAAACCAAGCATCTTATGTAAACTCTATCTTCTAACTCATTCTGCATTGTGCAGTTTATATAACCTTGCAACACAAACTTATATAATGTTTATTGCCATATGATTATGAAATTATTAAACAGCAGTTTATGAGGCATAACTGGTGTTAACTGGAGACTGAAAATGGAACTAAGGTGTAAAACCTCTTGTTCAGAGAACAATAAAAACAATTAAAACACAAGTATTAGCTGCAAATTTCAACAGCAGTTCAGTTAGTGTAAAAGTTCCCTAAAGAGCTCTGAGGTGCAATTACAAAGTCAGGCCCTGCAAAGCACAGTTTAATTATACTTTGGAGGTTTGGGAGCAGGCTACATCAAAGTGCAACATCAGAAGGAGGTAGGTGTTAGAGACTGCAGTCTTTGTGTTGGTTCTATTAGACTTTGGCACAATAACAAAAAAAAAACTATTTAAAGATCCTGTGTGACACATGTTAACATGTTTCCACAAGCATTTAACAGGAAGATGGCTTTGCTTCTACAGTTGAAATAGTAAGTCTTTGTAGCAAAAATATTTGTCAGAAGTGAAATGAAAAAGTCACTAAATCCAAACGCAAAGTAACTGAGGATGAAACTTGTGCTTTTAATTTTCATTGCAAAACAACACTACTGGTTTAGTAGTGGGCTGGTCTCATGTACTGATGGTAACAATACAAAAGGATATCTTACTGTGTTTTGTGAGAGGTGTAGATCTGTGATGGAGCGGATCATTTGTGGGGAAGACAGATTACCCTGTTTGTTGTCCAGTTCCTGTATCAAAACTCTCAAGATGATCCCATTCTGTGGTTCGAGGTAGTAACAACAAGCCACCACCAGCTCATGTCGACAATGGTGGCAGGTGTGGTAGACAGGAGACCAGGGCTGTGGACACTCAAATGAGCTCCACAGGAGCTTTGCAGCCCTTGAACTCCAAACATCTTCCTCCACTGGCCCTTCATAAACTTTAGCTTGTTGCCGCCGTGCTGATGCAGCAGTGTCAGAGGACTTTTCTGTTCTCTTCCCAAAACCAATGCAGGTCACTGGATTGTTATTAATCAGCACATCTGCCAAATGATCTGAAGGTAGGTATAAATTCTTTGTAATAATCATACAATAATGCAGTTCCTTCCTTCGATGTGTTCTCCTCTTTTCCAGCTCCACTCTGATGCCCTTTCTTTGTTTGCACCAGATTCTGTAACTTCTTTAGTCTTCCACTTGTCTGTATTGATTCTGCAGTGTCAGATGCAGTCTCACAGCCCTGTAATAAAGAAACAATAAGTGCATTCAAAGTGTGCACACATTCAAATCAACTGCACCAAATACTACCCTAAAAACATAGAGAAATATATTAGAAGAATAGAATTGGTGCATTTCAACATGTGAACAGCATCAGAATCTCACTACAAGCCATTCAGTCCTTGCAGAACCACAGTGACAGTTCTGTCCATATTCTTGAAAAGAAGTCAAACATGTTCCCAGTGGATGTTGGCCTCCCCAAAGGTTGCCCCATTTCTCTGTTCCTGTTTTTGATTTTCATGGACAGGATATCAAGACTTATCAGATAGTATTGATGGTGACGGACTGCCGTTTCCTGCAGTAAACCGTACTCATTTCCTGTTTTCTGTATTTGCTTCCAGATTGTTTAGGAATTAAACTCACTATTTTCTAGGTTCATCTGAATTTTTGAGTGACAACATACGCTTGCACCACTTAAAGCACTTGTGTTGCAGAAGTTCTTGCTAACTACCAAATTTAACTTGCTACTTTAGGTCTGCTAGTTTAGAAGCTAGCTAAGCTTGTAGCTTAATCGAGAGCAATGGCTTCCCCCTCTTCCTCTCCTCCTTTCTCTTGCTCGGAGTGTCGCATGATCAGTTATTCCTCTGCCTCCTTTAGCGATAATGGTACTTGTAATAAATGTCAGATGCTAGCAGCATTGGAGGCGAGGCTCATACACTTAGAAGTGCGGCTCCACACCATGGAGAATAGGCCAGCTAGCTATGCCCACGTAGCCGGTGTGGAGCCTCCTAGACGTAGCTTAGCCCAAGATAGCCGCCCCCCACAGCTTC